TATATACACACACATGTCATTTACCATGTTTTGTAGATTAACAATTCATACTTGCTATAAATAGTTACTTGTAATTGACATTTAAATAACTTGATAGTGTAAAACTTCTTCACTGTGTCTTTAAATATATACTTAGCTTAACTCGAATATAAATTAATATTTGCATTCTTCCATTCAATATTTTGTGGTTTAAAAAATGGTAGGTTTACTCGGTTGCTGGTGTTTACACTGGAGGTGGCAATTCAAACCATGGCCAAAAGTGTTGAACAATTTGTTGTTCTCTTTGATGCCAGTAAGTATTTTTCATGTAATGACAGTATTACCCTTGTTTAGCTCATCATGAATTTGAAAAGGAAGGATAGATTGGTATTTCACACAAGTTACTTACATAGTAAACCAGAACTCAGCTTTCTCTCAGTACTTAGGGGAATTATTATAATTAATGTACATTCTATTCTGAGGGGTTTCCAAGAATTTTCAGTCTGAAAATACCTCTTAAGGACCACTTTTTATAAAATTTATAAAACCCATTTCAGATCTTTTTAATTTCCAATGTCACGCCTAATCACTTAATTAAAGAGCAATTAATTAACTAATAAAATTTTGCCTGCTATAGCTCTACATTCAGCAGGCAAGAATCTGAAATATTTTCATGCTTTGCCTGGAGTGCCCTTGAGGTGTTGCTTTCAAGTTTGAGAATGTAGGGGTATAACTTGTCATTCTCTTTTATCTTTACTAGAAAATCTCAATAATGTCATGCAAAAGTACCCATAATTCTACTTTTTCTTAGCTTGTCAGAGTCCAGAACTCAAAGCACAGAGAAAAAGAAAAAAGAAAAAATCGAACATGCTCTGCAATGAATTTGAATTTTTGTTTTGCTTTATCACTTTAGTGCTTCATTGGGTTATGACAATTTATTATTGGGGTTATGTTTGACTAAATCATATCATTGGGGGCTGCTGTGAAAAATTGCAGGCTTTTTCAGGTCAGCATCAGCTTTTATGAACATTTTGTTGGCTTCACTCAAAATTATTGCCGATTATTATCCAGGACGACTCCACAAAGCTTTTGTCATTGATCCTCCTTCACTTTTCTCTTATCTTTGGAAGGTATTTCTTTTCTCACCTTATTCTATCCATTTTTTAAAAAATAAAAAGACACTAATATTGTGTCACATATAGCTAGCACAGAAATAAGAGTACATTATGATAGCGTAAGCATAGTTTATATCATAATAGTTTAGTTTAACTTGTGATAACATGTTAGTTGTCATTTTTATTAGGTTACCAATTAACTTGTGATAATTAGTTACTTACATTAGTGGAGTTAAAATTTTAACAAGGGGTGTCAAAATATAAAAAAGTAAATATACACGAAATTAAGAAGTTTCAACACATAAAATATATACACATAAAAAAGTTTTTTTATATATTTAATTACACAATGTAATTTTTTGACGAATTAGTATCATATGTGACTCCGCCACTTACTACTTACTATTTTTACTAGGTGACTTTGATAATACATATCCTAAATTTTTACGGTTAATGACTAATATTAATGTATAAATATATTTTACAATATCAGTATCTTACAACACTTGTGGTTTTTCTGCAGGGTGTTAAGACGTTTGTTGATCTAGCATCATTAACAATGGTGGTATCATCACTTGACTTTGAGGAATCATTGGAATTCAATGACTTCACTGCTTATCCAAGAGCTGCATCTCTCAGATTCAATCCTTCCTCCATACCTTGTTCATCTGGCAAGATTGGATCCTGCTCTTCTTCAAGATTTTCCTTCACTGTCTCACACCATTTTGACTCGGTCAAGCCATGGTATTTATCTTTAACTGACACGTCATCAGCTAAAGTTGGCCCCACTACTACTCCAGCCATCTCACCCCTCAATGCTAGGTCCTACTCATTTGCATCACCCATTGCTAGGACTCCACGTGGCAACATCAAGAAAGGGTTCTTCCCTTCTACTCCTTTGCCACAAAAAACTCAAGAGTTGGACCCGTCAGAAATTCGCCATCCTAGGGCTACTACGAGTACGAGGCTATCATTTTTTCAATCTCCAGCCATGTTCTTCAAGAAAGATAATAATAATTGCCATATCAGTAAGTGTCGTGAATCATTCCAGCCTTTTTTGAAGTTCTATCGAAGGCCGTATGATGAGATGATTTATAGGTCGAAGATGAGACCACCACTAGGTGGACTTATATCTATCGTCTCTCCGCACATCAGGCGTCGACACATGTCCCTCTCTCAACGCTTTTGATTGAAAAGCAAGCGAGATTTTACCCCTTTTTTTTGTATTGATTACTCTTCTAAGTACATAAATATGTTTGGTTACTATGATCATTAACCAAGGAGTTTGCTTGCTCCTCAACAAATAATTTATTAATTGTTTATCAATTCCGGAGGAATTCATTTTAATTTTGTGGCTCTAGTTACTACTACATTAATTTTGTTTTGCCAAAAGTGATATTTTTAATAGTTTCTGCGGTAGGACAACAAATTAAAAGCAGACTACGTGCAAGGTGGGATGTGACATATTGTGCGAAAATGTCTGTTTTTACTATTTACTGACTTCGGGTAATGCAAAAACAATGCTTCGTAACAAGACAACGTGGTCTATACGATAAACATCATATTTGCAAAACATTTATGAGATAATCAAACTTTCAAGAAAACCAAGTAAGTTCGTTTCCAAAAATAATCAGTTTTTAAAAGATTGTCACAAAGACTTCAATTTTTTAAGTTTATGTTTGACAAGTGGGAGTACGAGGGATGTAGAAAAATAAGACACTTTCGTTTGAACTTTATTATGATGCTTGATAATATATGTCATAAAATAAAGGACCAAAGTTTGAAAATCCTAATCTTGTAAGTTTGTCTTTGTATTAGTTAGTCAGTCTATTTTTTACTTGATTCTACTTTTAAATTATCATATTATTGGTTTCTTCAACGTTGGCAGAGCTTTGGGTAGGAATATGTGTCGTGGTGCTGTTGTATCCAAAAGTCAAATGGGAGCTTAATATAGCTGACCATATTCTTAATTCTTAATAAATAATTATAAGTACTTATTTATTTTTTTGTTTAATATACATAACCTTGCGGTATTGTATGGGAAACTGAAACATCGCACGAACACATATACGCATCTAAGTAGAAAATAACGTAATATATGGTGTAAAGTATACATAATCCACATATATTTTGTCTTGTATTCGTTTGTCAAGAAGTAATCAAGGTTTATGCAAGTCTCAATTGTGGATTTATTTACTCTATCCCAGTTTATATGTCATGTTTTCCTTTTTGGTGTGTCCCGAACAAATATCATATTTTCTTAAAAATATTTATTTTAAAAAAAATTATTTACTCTTAATGAGATGATTTATTATCCCACCACACATGAATGTCTATGCTTGTTTTAGGTTATAAATTTTAAAAAATATCTTTCTTCCTTAAAACTTATGCCTAGTCAAATAAAGCCATACAAATTGGGACAAAGGGAGTAATATATTTTATTATTTTCCTGAGGGTGTAAGGATGACGTCTTTTATGCTATTTCGTTTGTTTGGTTCACTGAATCAAGATTTTAGGCTTGGAATATTGTTGATTGTGATTTATGAAATGTACAAAAGGTGTATTTGTTTCGTAGTGTGCATTGGTTTATTGTTTGGATGTTCTTGCTTTGTCTAATTGTTCTAAGTGTCTATCTCTCACTTACTTTACATGATTTTCTTGAGACTTGAGAGAGTTATATATTGAAGAAGTGATAGATGAAGCAGTGTTTGTCATATTTATATATTACTGAGCTACAGTTCGTACTCCTTTTCTTGAATAGATAGACACCCTATCCAATTAAGAAACTGAGCAAAAAATAATTGAAGAATGAAATTGATGAAATCCTAGATCTAATCTGAGCTGCTAAGCTGAGAATGAAGGAGAAGCAGTTACACGCTAATGGAGAAGAAGGAGTTTCTTCATTTTCTGTTACAAACACTGTACACTAACCGTGTATATATACAAACAAGTTAGCTACTAACACACCTACTTAACAAAATAAACCTTTCACTAACTTAGCTTGGCATTCAGCTGTACATTCCACTGACTATACACCTAATACTTCAACACCCTCCCTCAAGCTGATGGTTGAAACAAGTCTTTCAACTTCAGCTTGGACAGAAGATAGTCGTGCTGCACTTTCCCAAGACTCTTTTTCAGTAAATCAACTTGTTGCTCCTTGGTAGGTACATGATGAGTCTTGATCAGTCCTTGCATAATTTTTTCCCTCACAAAATGACAATCGATATCAATATGCTTGGTTCTTTTATGGAATATAGGATTAGCTGCAATCTGAATTGCAGCTTTAATTGTTGTCACAGTGTAAGTCTATAGGCAGGGGCAGCTCAACTCCTAATTCTTAAAAAAGTCCTGTAAGCCAAGTTAACTCTGCAATTGCTGATGTCATACTCCTAAATTCTGCTTCTGTTGAGTTTTTGGCAATTGTTTCCTGCTTTTTTGACTTCCAGGATATTAATGCATCATCAAACTTGACTACATATCCTGTAACAGATCTTCTAGTTTGCAAATATCCTCCCAGTCTGAGTCACAATAGGCTTTAAGTCTTCCTGAGCCTTTTGAGGGCATCAACAGACTAAGACCTGGAGCAGTCTTGATGTATCTAACTACTCTTAAAGCAGCATCTATATGAGATTGCTTGGGTTTATGCATAAACTGGCTGAGCACCTGCACTATATATGAGATATCAATTCTAGTCATAGTGAGATATAGAAGTCTGCCAATTAGTCTTTGATAAGGTCCAGCATTCTCTAGCTCTTTATCCTCTACATTAACTTCACTAGAAAAGTCTTTGTTCAAGGAATTGTCAAACACAACAGAAGTAAGCTTTGAACTGGTCTCCAAGAGTGTACCAGCAGGTTTGGCACCACCAAGCCCTGACTCTGCAATCAACTCCAAAGCATACTTTCTTTGACTTATAACTACCCCTTTCTTAGATCTGGAAAGCTTTATCCCTAGAAAGAACTTAAGTTCACCTAGGTTTTTTATTTTGAACTTTAGCTTCAAGTCATTTTTAGTCTGCATAATTAGACTAGGACTGCTTCCTGGGACCAACAGGACATCAACATAAACCAGCACTATCACCAACTCAGTCTTCACCTTTTTTGTAAATAATGAATAGTCAAAGTGACTCTAAGTGAAGCCAAGTTGAGTTAAAGCATCTGTAAGTTCCTTGTTCCACTATCTAAGGGCTTGTTTAAATCCATATAAAGACTTGTGAAGTTTGCAAGCCATCTGTTTTCCTCCCTGGATGGCAAACCCAGGAGGAACCTCCATGTAGACTTCCTCAAGTAATTCTCCATATAGAAAAGCATTATGGACATTCATCTGATAGATGTACCACTGCTTGGCAGCATCAATTGCCAGAACAGATCTCACATTGACTATTTTGGCCACAAGAGAGAATGTTTCAATGTAAACAACACCCTCCTGTTGACTATAGCCCTTGGCCACAAGCCTTGCCTTATACCTCTCAACTGCACCTGTAGAAGTGTATTTAACCTTAAACACCCGCATGCAACCAATTGGTACCTTCCTTGGAGGTAAAAGAACTATACTCCAGGTGTTGTTCTCTTCTAGAACTGAGATTTCACTCTTCATGGTAGCTATCTACTTGGGATCCTTGACTACTTCAGCAAAGGTTTGAGGTTCTATGATGGCAGAGTATATTATCACGGCATTGCCAAAGGAAGAAGAAACATGATCATAAATAACACATGCTAAAATAGGGTAGCAATAATGAGCCTTGTCTTTATTGTGAGTAACAAAGTCCTTCAACCAAACTGGTGGTCGACTGTCCTTGCTAGATCTTCTACTGGCAAGAGGTTCAGCAGTAGACAATATAGAAGATATTTGCTCAACAGAGATGACTACTGAATCAGCAAGAGAATCAACAGACGGCTCTACAACATCCTCATGGAGTGCAGATGAGTCACTTTTTGAGTGATTGTGAGGAGGTGCATCATCTGGTGATGCAACATTAGGTGCAACATGATTTGGAGGTAACTTGTTCTCAGAGAAAAGAATAGGATTATTGAGATCTAGCACAGGGAATATAGAGGAGATAGTACTAGAGGCATATTTGAAAAGGAAGATATCTTCTTTGAAAACCACATCTCTACTGACAGTAAAGCCTTTAGAGTGAAGATTATACATTTTGTAGTCTTTTTGTGTCATAGAATAGCCTAGAAATTCAACTAGAACAGCTCTAGGAGAAAACTTGTCTAATCTTCTCACATCAGCTATATAGCCTAGACATCCAAACACTCTCATATGGTCCAAAGGAGGAACATGACCAACTAAAGCTTCAAAAGGAGACTTGCCTTGAAGGGTTGTTGAAGGTAGCCTATTTATAATATACACAGCAGTGGTGATACAGTCACCCCAGAATCTGAGAGGTACAAAAGCTTGAAACCTCAGTGATCTAGCCACTTCCGAAATATACTTGTGCCTCCTCTCAGCTACTCCATTCCGTTGTGGAGTATATATGCAAGAACTTTGGTGAACTATGCATTTAGTATGCAGCAACTCAGTTACTTGAGAGTTGAGAAATTCACTGCCATTATCTGATCGAAAAACTTTCACAGAAGCTGAATAAACATTCTGAATCATAGAAATAAAATATCTAAGGACAACAATCAGTTCTGACTTGGTAGGCAGCAGAAATACCCAAATATATCGAGAATAGTCATCTGTAAGAGTTAAAAAATACTTCTTTCCATCATAAGTAGGAACTTTATAGGGTCCCCACACATTACCATGCAATGTATGAAACCAAACATTAGTAGTAGTAGTACTTAAAGGAAATGGTAGCCTGGTTTGTCTTGTCAAAGGACATACAGAGCAAGTGTCATCAGAATTCTTGTAACTGTGATTCTGAAATCTAACTATGGTTTTTAAAGTCTTTGTAGGCACATGTCCTAATTCTTATGCCATAAGGCTACATCTATTATTCTATTCTTAATGATCATATTAACAATAGGTAAGTTCTTTTGAGTTGATAGCCTAGGAATTGGTCTGGGAACTACAGCTTGAATGTCAGTTGTATTGACCCCTGCAGAATAGAAAATATAAAGACCATCTTCTTCTCTACCAATCCCCTTCACCTGTTCACTGGAGAGTTCATAAAAAATGCAGAATTCAGGAAAGAACACCACTGCCCATCTCATCTCCTTTGTTAGCTTTGAGACAGATAAAAGATTGTACTTGAAGTCAGGTATATGAAGTACATTGCTAATTGTTTGGCCCTGAACAATATAAGTTGATCCTATGTGACTTATGGAAGCAGCATTTCCTGTAGGAAGTTGAACTGTACCATTCTTACCATTATTCAGCCTCTTAGGATTAACTAATAAGCTAAGACTGTGCACCATATGACTCGAGGCACCTGAATCCACTATCCACTTAGCCAACACTTCTGGAGTCACTACACAACCTGCTGGTAATGATGTAGTTGTAGTTGAGTTGTTCCCCTCACTTCCTTTTCCCAATAGCTGAATTATCTGCTAGTACTATTCTTGAGTGAACTATGGAACATTGAACATCACATTATGAGTCCCCTGTCCAGGCATTGCACCTTGTTGAACTTGTGAGGTACTTGCAAAATTAGCTGTGAAAGTTTGATTGTTCGTCGTAGCACCTGTTACTTCCTGAGTAAAATGACCTGCATTTTCTGATCCAGCTTTCTTCTTGGTCTTAACATCTGGAGGATATCTATTTAGTTTATAACATGTCTCCCTAGTGTGCCCTTTAAAGTTGCACTAGTCACAGTATATAGTATTCTTGTTGGATTTGTAGTTGCTTCCTCCAGTATAACTATGTCCACCAGGATAATTGTTGCTGAGTCCTCCAGTATGAGTATGATTTCCTGTGGCATTATTGTACCCTTTACCACTGAACATACTAGTATTTTTATTTAGTATTCCTGTAGTTTTGCTACTAAACAAGGCAGTGCCTTCAGCAACTTCAGAGACTTGTGATGAATCACATATAGATTTTCGGCTTTCCTCAGATATAATCATAACATAGGCTTTATTGATGGAAGGAATATGCAACATGTTCAAAATCTGATTGCTTGACTGAGAATAGGACTCATTTATCCCCATAAAAAACTGTAGTAACCTTTGATACTAGAAATGTTCAACATATTTTTTTGATTTATCACAGCCACACCCAGGGCAGGGCATACGAGTGTCGAATTCTGCCCAGAATTCTTTCAACTTAGAGAAGTAATTAGACACATATGATATCCCCTAGGTTAATGTAGCAATCAGGTTATGAAGGTATAATATACGAGAATCATTCACTTTATCAAATCTCTCCTTGAGATCCATCCAAACCTTGTGAGCACTCGAAGCATACACCATACCACTCAATAATTTAGCACTTACTGAGTTCATAATTTAAGAGAGTACTATTGCATTGCATTTTCCCCATAATTCATGAAGAGACACATCGAATTTCTCCTTAGGATATCTACCATCCACAAACCCTAGCTTACTTTTTCCTAGTAAACTAACACGCATTGCATTACTCCACATTGTATAGTTTTCAGGTCCAGTTAATTTGACTGAAATCAGAGAACTACTTGGAGTATCACATGGCTAAAGAAACAGGGGATGATGTTGATCGATTGAAGTTGAGCTACCGCCAGCAGCTGCTATGCTTGTGTCAATTTCTTCATTCTCGACCGCCATTGTTAATGAGGCACTCGAGCTTAGATGAAGAAGCAAAAAACGGAGAAGAAACTGCTAATTGTTCGAATTAGCCCTAACATCGAAGATATCGAAGAATTTATCAGAACACAAACACTGAGGCATCTTAGATCTAGATAACTGATAACGAAGCATGAATCATAAACATGAGCTCTGATACCATGATGAAATCCTAGATCTAATCTGAGCTGCTATATATATATATATATCACTTAAATATTAAATATGATAATTTGACAAAAACCGACAGACTTCGGTCGGTATTTCAATTTAATTAATTTTTTAAAAAAATTAAAATTAAAATACTGACCGATTTCAGTCAGAAATGTGTGGTCAAATGGTTAAACACTAACTTAAATATACCGACCACCTTTTCCGAATGAAGTCGGTCGGAAAATTTTAATTTAGGGTGCCAGAGATGGGTTTCTTTCCCATTTTTTTCTTTACTCTTTTTCTCACTCTTTCTTCCACATCCGTAAATCCTTCCCAAATCCCACCCAAATCACTACTCCCTTCTCACCCAAAATCAAACTCTACTTCGTCTCTCCCGCGCCACCACTGCCGCACTACCACTGCTCCTCCGCCACTGCCGCGCCACTTCCAAAATCATATCCCTCTCCTCTCTTTGAAGGTTAGTTATTTACATTTGTTAATTTTAGTTATTTAAATTCTTTCAATTATATAAACTAGGGTTTACATTTTAGAATTTTGGGATTTTGTAACTAAAGTTTATTATGTAACTTAATTTTATAAATTAATTTGAATTATGATTAATATAACATGTAATTTATTTGTTCTTTATGTAGATGAAATTTCGTAGTTGGACTTTTAGGGCACATTAAATTATGATTTAGGATTTATTAATGATGATTAATAGTAAGTGAGTTAGTCTAATTGAATGGCTTAACTAATTCATTATTCTAGTGTTTGACTATGTTGTACTTTGTAACTAAAGTTTATTATGCAAATTAATTCTTTAAAATAATTTGAATTATGATTAATATAAATTATAATTTATTTGTTCTTTATGTAGATGGAATATCGTAGTTGGACTTTTAGGGCATATTAAATTATGATTTAAGGTTTATTAATTATAATTAATAGTAACCGAGTTAGTCTAATTGAATGGTCTAACTAATTCAATATTCTAGTATTTGACTATGTTGTACTTTGTAACTAAAGTTTATTATGTAACTTAATTCTATAAATTAATTTGAATTATGATTAATATAAATATAATTTATTTGTGTTTTATGTAGATGGAATATCGTAGTTGGACTTATAGGGCACATTAAATTATGATTTAGAATTTTATTAATTATGATTAATAGTAAGTGAGTTAGTCTAATTGAATGACTTAACTAATTCAATATTCTAGTGTTTGACTATGTTATATTTTGTAATTAAAGTTTATTACGTAACTTAATTCTATAAATTAATTCGAATTATGATTAATATAAATATAATTTATTTGTTCTTTATGTAGATGGAATATCATAGTTGGATGTATAATAGGAATTATCCCAATCGTCGGTTTTTTAGGGAGGAATTTATAAAAGGGGTTAAGTAATTTATTAGGCATGCAATGTCATTTGAACCGTTTCGGATTGGAGGGTTGATCAGGCGTCCTTGTACGAAGTGCAAGTGTTTGAATTTTTTGGGTTCGGAGGAAGTTACGACTTATCTTTATAGAAAGGGGTTTATGGATAGTTATTTTGTATGGACTAGTAATTGAGAGGTTGATGGTACTGATAGTGTATTTCATAACGTAATTGTTGATGAAAGTAGTAGGTCGGTGGAGAATAGCGTTCAATATCCTAGATGCCATGCAATGGTTGCGGATGCTTTTGGGATGTACTTCGATTTTGAACCCCATGAAAGTATTGAACAAGCTCCTAACGAAGATGCAAAATATTTTTATGAACAGTTAGAGGCCGCTAGTCGTCCACTAAGTGAAGGGAGTATGCACTCTCATTTGTCTGTTGCAGTTAGATTATTAAGTATCAAATCAGATACCAATATTTCTCAAGCAGAAATAGATTCTTTCATTGGCCTTACGAGTGAACTAGTTGACCCAACTTTCAACATACCTGAAGATTTCTATAAGGCTAAAAGATAGGTTTCTAAGTTAGGACTCTCGTCTATGAGAATTGATTATTGTGAAGATGGTTGCATGTTGTATTATAAGGGTGATGCATATTTAGAAAGTTGTAAATTTTGTGAAAAATCTCGTTTTAAGCGGGTTTCTAGCGGGAAGAAGGCTGCTGTGAAGTCGATGCATTATTTACCTCTTATTCCTAGATTAAAGAGGTTGTATGCGTCGATGAGTTCCGCTCCTCATATGAGATGGCACTATGAAAATAGAAGGCCGCCTGGTGTTATGTGTCATCCTTCAGATGGGGAAGCTTGGAAGCATTTTTATAGGACGTATCCGGATTATGCTAGTGGACCGAGGAATGTTTGGTTGGGTTTGTGTGCTGATGGTTTCACGCCATTTTCTGTTTCTGCAACACCATATTCATGCTGGCCATTATTTATTACGCCGTATAATCTTCCGCCTGAAATGTATATGAATAGTCCATATATTTTCTTAAATTGTGTTATTCCCTGTCCTCGCAATCCAAAGAGTTTGATTGATGTATATTTGTAACCTCTGATTGATGAGCTAAAACAGTTATGGTATGATGGAGTTGAGACATATGACATATCAACTAAGCAAAATTTTAACTTGCGTGCTATCTTAATGTGGATCATTAATGATTTTCCTGTGTATGGAGTGTTATCTGGGTGGATGACTACTAGAAAGTTAGCATGTCCTTACTGCATGAAAAATGGTAAAGCGTTCACTTTAAGACATGGCCGAAAAGAGTCATGGTTTGATTGTCATCGTCAGTTCTTGCCAGTTGATCATGAGTTCAGAAGGATAAAGAACGCATTCAAAAAGAATACAGTTGAACGTGATTTGCCACCTCCAATTTTGTCTAGTGAAAAAATTTGGGAGAGGGTTCAGAACTTCACTAAAGTTACCGAGGCCCCACCTTCTAGATTTTCTGGATATGGTGTTACTCATAACTGGATAAAACATAGCATATTTTGGGAGTTGCCATATTGTAAGGATAATCTTCTCCGACACAATCTTGATGTCATGCATATTGAGAAGAACTATTTTGATAATTTGTTCGACATAGTGATGGATGATAAGAATAAGACAAAAGATAACCCAAAGGCTAAACTGTACTTACAAGAATATTGCAGGTGACTTGAATTACATTTGCAGTCTGCGAACAATGGTAAGGTATTCAAACCCAAGGCCAGCTACACATTCACTTTGGAACAAAGATGACCGATTTGTGAGTGGGTTGCAACCCTAAAGATGCCCGAGGTCTATGCTTCGAACCTGGGAAAATGTGCCGATATGGTTGAAGGAAAGTTGACTCATATGAAAAGTCATGACTGTCATATAGTCATGGAAACCTTAATCCTTATTGCATTTTGTAGTTTGCCTGAAAATATCTGAAAACCCATCACAGAGATAAGTTTGTTCTTCAAAGACTTATGTTCTATCACATTAAGGGAAGAAAACCTATTTCAAATGAATTAGAACATTCCTGTAATCAGTAATAAGCTGGAAAGGATTTTTCCATGTGGTTTCTTTGATGTGATGGAACACCTTCCAATTTACCTTGTACGCGAGGCGCGACTTGGAGGGCCGGTTCAATGCAGGTCGATATATCCATTCGAGAGGTAATGATCAAACCTTGATTTATTCTTGTAATTTTCTTTAACGTTATCGTCTAATATGACAATGTGCAGGACTATCGGCAAGTGTAAACGATTTGTTTAACAAAGGAATAGGATTGAAGGATCCATATGCGAAGCCTATCTTGCAAAGGAAACTGCCCATTTTTGTTCTTACTACTTCGAATGTGCCATGTGCTAGAAATAGGCCCAATCAGCACAATGTTGTGATTGAGATTGATCCATTATATCCACCAATGTCCATATTCAATCAACCAGGCTGAGGTTCTAAAGATCTAACAAAAGGGGGCCTAAGTAGTATGGAGTACAAATCAGCTTCAAATCATGTGTTGCTAAATTGTCCGAAAGTTCAACCCTTTCTTAAGTAAGTGTTGACGTAAGATTAATTTATATGGACTACTATTTAATTTGGTTGATGCAACTAACAAAATTTTCAATGTGTCGCTCAGTGACTTCGTGAGTCAATTTGGCCATGATGTTGTATATTCTACATTTGAGGCATGGTTTAAAGAGTGTGTACGTGCATCTTACATACTTTCTTACATGTGAATATACATACTTGGTCACTTGTGAATATACTTGCTCACTTGTGATTTATTTAACACTACATGTAGGTCAATAATCCAAACAACGTTGTTAATCAATTTTTGAAAGACATATCTTGGGGACCTGCACCTACGGTTACAACTATGTCTAAGTATTTTGTGAATGGTTACAAATTTCACACCGAGGAATGCTCCAAGTATAAAAAAAAGTAATAACAGTGGGGTGTGTGTCAAAGGTGGTGAAGGCAATCAGGATGTGGAAAATGATTATTATGGTATGGTAAAATAGATTCTAGAATTATCATATTAAGAAGATCATACTTTTCCAATGCAAGTGGTTTGACCCAATACCTAGAAGAGGTACAAATATACACTCGTAGTACAACATAATAGAAGTTAATAAAAAGAGGGAGTATGACCGCTATGATCCTTTTATAATTGCAGAAAAAGTTAGGCAAGTATATTATGCTCCATATCCACTGCGGAGGGATAAAGCTGATTAGTTGGGTGTAATCAAAACTAAGAATGTTGGTAGGGTGGAAGTTGAGAATGTTCTAGATGTTTCTTACCAAAACGATACCTCAAGTGTTAACCAAATGGTGGATGATCAGTTAGAAAATAACTTGGAGCATCCTCAACACATATTAGAAGAAGTTGATATGGAGGAAATAACAATCA